TGGTTGTAATCTGAAATTATGAGGTTAAATATGATACATTAAGAGAGAGAGAAATAGAAAAAAAAGAAAGAGAAAAAGAAAAAAAGATAAAACAAAAGAAAGAAAGCTTAAAAAATTTAAGCAGAAGGGAAAGAAAGAGAGAAGATAGGAGAGAAATTGCTTTTGACAGTTTTCAAAGATATGAGGCTTTATAAAAAATGATTAACAAAAATACATACATTTAAAGAGAGAGAGAGAGAAAGAGAGATGGAAAAAGATAGGAAAAATATGCGAATATATATATATATATAGAGAGAGAGAAAATTACCGTTGGATTATATTTCTGGAATAAGATGGATTGTTAAGAAGTATTCTTTTGTTTTAGTCGGTTGTTTTTTTTACTATAAACAAGAACATGTATGTATGTATGTATGTTTGTCTGCTTGTCTGCATGTTTGTTTGTTTGTTTGTTGGTTTGTTTGTGTGTTTGTTCTTTTGTACCTGTGCGTACGCATTTGTTTGTTTGATTGTTTGTTTTTATAAATGTATATATCCGTTTGTGTTTGTTTATATCTGTTTGCTTGTGAAAACAACATCATCAACGTCAAACAATCACACATAACTTTACAAAGACAGACAGGCAGAAAGACAGGCAGATGCACGCACATTTAGACAGACAAACAGAGAGAGAGAGAGAGAGAGAGAGAGAGAGAGAGAGAGAGAGAGAAAGTGCAACCAATAAGCTAGCCAAAAACCTAAGAAAACGCATAATGGATACGTGACGGTGGTGAGAATGATGATGATAAAAATAATGATGATGGTGATGGTATAACGGTGACGATGATGAACAGAATACAGATGATGGTGATGGTGGCTATGAAAATGACGATGATGATGACGACGATGACGATGAGGGTTATGAGTGAAGCGAAAATTATAGAAAGGTATCTATATGTTGCTAATGATCGTACTAGTGAGTTTGAATCAGGAAGATGAAGAAGATGATGTCGGTGATGGTGATTGTAATGTTCTGAAAATGATGATGACAATGCGACGAAGATGGTGGTCATTACACCATCGCCATCACAGTCATCATCATTATCACCATCATCATTATCATAAACTCACTTTTTTTCCATTAGCGTCAGAAAACCTATGGATGCCAGGAACATTTTTGAAGCCACTAATGCGATCATTATCATCACCATTAATATCATTACCACCACCACCACCATCATCATCATCGTCATTGCCGTTTATATCATTATCATCACCGGAGACGCAATCATTATCATAATTCGGTTTCTGTCCCACTTTTAACAATTTACTGTCACTAATTTTATTATTTCTTTTATTAGCTTTATTATTATTATTGTTATTATTATTGTTGTTGTTGTTATTTTTATTAATATTATTGTTAGATATTTTATGCATTTTACCAGATCTACCGCTGATAGTTTTCCTCATTTTACCAGCTTGTTTAAGCTTTTTCCGATTTTTAGCGACGGCCACAAACGCCATTACCGCTATAGTCAAGGTCAAGACGACTAAGAAACCAACGACTACCGCTAAAGCTATATAAGGCCATGTTAATTTGATTGAGCTGCTGTTGTTGTAGCTGTCAGCTGTTAGCTGCGTGACAAAGTTGAAGAAGATTTTATTTGGTCGGTAGGTTAGCGAGTCGTTCAGCTGTATTTTTATTATCGCCATAGCCGAAAGCGGCGGATTGCCGCTATCTGTAGCTACAACAAAAAGCTGGCACGAGTTGTAGTTGTGGTGGTCGGAAGTACTGATGATGATGCCGGTTGATGGGTGGATGTTGTAGCTGGTAGGCGAGCAGTTGGTTTCGTTGTTGATGTTGCTTGGGTCTGTGTTTGTGAATTTGTTTGTTTGTTTGTGAGTTTGTTTATTTGTATGTTTATTAGTATTGACATAAATTATACAGCGACAAAACGAATTATACTAATTTAGAATAATATTTCACAATAATAGTTATTTAAACTTAAACAGTAGTGAATTCTGATTCATATCAGTAGTTTAAAAGTTTACTATCATAAATAAGCCAGTTCTATTTTCATAAATGGCAGCTTGAAATTTATGCCTAAGTGTTCTACATGTTGTAAGAAATTGATGTATATCTATGTATCCACATGCATTATTGTATGGATTCAATCAACATAGTATCTTCTGTATCTAATGATTTGTGGACCGCCCCTATTGAATAACTTCAGATACTGTTCCTATCATATAATGTGTATGTGTGATATATTACATTTGTTATAATTAATAATTATACAATTATGTCATATTGAAAGTCTGGGAATTATTCTATTCAATTTCTATTCTAATTCTACTGCTATTAATAAATACCACAACTACTTCTTACTGCTGCTGCTACTACTGCTACTACTGCTGCTACTACTACTACTACTACAACTACTATTATTATTATTACTACTACTACTATTACTACTGATACTACTACTACTGCTACAGCAACGACTATTTATTATTAATATTATCATTATTCTATAAAGTTTTAAAATTTTATTTAAAAAAAATTTCTGGAATTTTTTTAATTAATTTTTCCGTAGCAATGTAGCAATGTAATTAAATTAACTTTAAAAAAAAACAAATAAAAAACAAAAATAAAAAAAAACAGGAGCCAACACTTGAGGCTAGAAAAAAATCCAAAAAATTAAAAAAATTCTCCCGTGCAAAAAAAGAAAGAAAGAGCAGCCTAATAAAAATAACAGTAACACAACAACCATTGTAGGAGTAGGTACAATTGTAGCAGTAGCAGTAACTCCAGTAAAGCTAAAGCGACCTTAGTAACATTGCTAATAACTTTAGGATCTTGTAACATGGTGTTAAAGTTATTGCCATTAACAACAGCATTAAGAAAGTACAGTACTATAAGTGTTACTCCAGTGGTGGAAACATTAGCAGCGGTTGTAGCATTAGTACAATTACAAAGTTATGATGAAGAAACTCAACTTTGGGAAACCGTTTAATGGTAGTAGCATGAGTGGAACGATAATGATGATGGTGAAGATGATGATGATGACGACGATGATGGTGATGGTTCTTCAGTCTGCCTGAGTAGTAGCATGAGTAACATAGAAACCTAAAGTAACTTGGTAACATTTAGAAACGTAATAACAATAAGTAACGTGTTAACATTAAGTAACATAGCAAAATGGGAGTAACATGGCGACAATGAATGACTAGAAAACTTTAAAAAAACTCTGTTGTACTGTGTGAAACTGAGTGACTAAAGCAATTTAAGAGCCAGTAGTAGCAGCCTAACAAAAGATGAAACGTTACGCGGGCACTTACCTGAGCAGAAATGGAATTTTAATTTCTTATCTTTCCACCTTTCCAGTCTTTTGAAATAGTCATCATTATCATCTCGGCCGCCATCATCATCACCATCGTCATCATCATTACCATCTTCACCATCATCACCATCTTCACCATCATCACCATCTTCACCATCATCATCACCATCTTCACCATCATCATCGTCATCGTCGTCAAATGCATCTACATCGTGTATGAAGTCGTTCGAAGAGATTTTATTTGAGACGTGAATGGTGATGCCTGGAGGATGTGATGACGAAGGAGATGACGATGACGATGATGGTGACGGAAAACATGGTGATGGAAAAATAGATGATGATGGAGATAATGATGATGACGATGGAGAGGACGACGACGATGATGGCTCTTTGAATTGGAAGTAGGGTACGTTGTCATTAACGTCGTCAATAGAAATGAAGACCTGTGTGGTTAAGTGGTGTCCTTTCATTCATTCATTCGTTCATTCGTTCGTTCGTTCGTTTGTTCGTTCATTCATTCATTCATTCATTCATTCATTCATTCATTCATTCATTTGTCAGTTCGTTCGTTCTTTCGTTCAAACATTTTCATTTTTCCTATCGTGCCGCTGTGTAATTCAACTTTTCCATTTGATGATACTCGTTCATTTCATTTTATTCTTTCATTTCTTCCTTCACACACTCATTCATTCCACAGCATCCAAAATATCAACAACAACAACATCACCAACACAACATCCAAAACATCAACAACAACATTAACTTGTGAACCTAACGTTACTGACATTAACAACAAACATAACATCAACAATATCCATGACAACATCATCAACAACAACAACATCAACAAAAACATCAACAACAACAACATCATCAACAACAACATCAACAACAACGACAACAACAAAAACATCATCAACATCAACAACAACATCAACAACAACAACGACAACAAAAACATCAACAACATCAACAAAAACATCAACAAACCTTAGCGTAACTTCTGAAGTTAATGTGACTGACATCAACCACAACGACATCAAGTGCGAACTCTGCAACTATTTCTCGGTCAAACGACTGACAAACGTATATTAAGCCATTATTTTCTTCTAATTGAAATAAATTGTTCATGTTGTTGTTGTTGTTCATGTTGTTGTTGTTGTTATTGTTGTTGTTGTTGTTCATGTTATTAAGGTCTAATTTATATTGATAAGGAGAGCTTTCTTTGTCAAGCGGAGTATTAGGTATAAAAGCAATGCTAGCGTCGTAGTCGTTGTTGTTGTTGATGTTGTTGATGTTGATGTTGTTGTTGATGTCGTTGTTGTTGATGTTATTGTTGATGTTGTCGTTAATGTTGTTACTCATGTAGCTATTGTTGGTTGAATTGTTGGAAAACTCTTGCTTTGTTGCTGGGGTAAAATGAACGATTTCATAATTATGATTATTATTATGGTTATTATAATTATTGCTATTATTATAGTTATTATTATTATTATTATAGTTATTATTATTATTATTATGGTTGTTATTATTATGGTTGTTATTACTATTATTTCTCTTTCTTTTTTTGCTCCATTTGTTCACACCGACACTCTCGATGTAAAACTTGAACTTGTTGAACCGATAGCTATCGGCGTCGAACGCGCTCAGCCCTCCAATCACAGTCTCGCAACTATTCGAAACTACTCGATTCTCCAGTACCGATAACGAGTACACATCCCTATCGAATCTCGGGATCTCATCGTTAATGTCTATCACCGTTATGTCGACCGTTGCTGATGACGTCAGTGCCACCGGTATGCCCTGATCGCTAGCGGTTATGACGACGGTATAGAGATGTACCGATTCGTAATTGTACGGCTGGAGACCGGTTTTTAAAATACCGGTAAATTTATCGATGGAAAATAATTTAGCAAACGATGAACTAGGAATGGTAGTTGTTTCATTCGAATTTTTCCGACTCGATTCTACCGAATGGATGTTGTAGACGAGACGAGAGTTGGCCGACTCGTCGATGTCGATAGCGGTTACTCGGAGTAATGTTGCGTTAAGAAGAGATGTGCTGTTCTCCTCTACCGATACCGAGTATCGACTCTGCCGGAATATCGGATAGTTATCGTTGACATCCAAAACCTGGCAAAAATTAATGCCATTCATGTCATATTATGACGTACCTATTACGTCACTAATATAAATTACAAAATCATCTAGAGTTCATCTTCAATATTTTAATCATTATTTTATTAAACAACACCACAAACCCTGATGATGAACAACAATCGTGACGTCAATGAAACCATTCCGCCATCCTGACACGTCATCATGGCCCGAACCACTTCCGCCCGTTCCCTATCCAGCAGTTCTTTGGTCAGAAGATGGTATTCGTTTTCATATCTTTGTTGCAGTTTTAGTTCTTTACTCTCCAAAGAACAAATAACGATTGCGTTTTCTTCGCTGTCTGGATCGTTGACGCTTATATGTGCAAGGAATGTGGACAGAGGACTGTCTTCTGGAATTGTAATCTGTGTGTGCGTGTGTGTGCGTGAGAGAGAGAGAGAGAGAGAGAAAGGCTGTGATGGCGCGTGTTGATAACGATACCTCTGAGAATAAATTAAGGGAGAGTTTATTTATAAAAAGTTATAACTTCTGAAGACGTAAAAGTTTTTTAAAACGCGTTATGGAAAAATAGATTTAATTACTTCCTTTCGTTAGTAATTTTGAAAAAACTCGGCGAAAAATTAATTTTTTTTTGTTATTATTATCACTTTTTTGTTATTTCTGCATGTATAAATTATAATATTATTATTGTGTTATTGATTTTATTGTTTGAAAAAAATTGTGAAAAAAATAAATTATTTTTCCCCTTCAAGAGAACGAGAAAAATGTGTAATATTAGAAGACTCATCCAAATGACAACGCCTATCTGACTAATGACCATCAAAATTTTTTTCTTTTCTAGTTTCTATGTTTTCATTTTTTATAAAATAAAAAGATTTTTCAACACTAATTACCACAAAATATTTGAAAAATGTTTTTGAAATTCATTATATAAAAATATTTGATCATAAAATGAGCAATTAATTAAGTAACAATGGAATACGCATCTTCACTTTTAGTTGCTACGTAACGTTCTACTACTACTACTGCTGTTGCTGCTGCTACTACTACTGATGCTGCTACTACTACTACTGCTGCTGCTGTTGTGGCCACTACTACAACTACAGCCACTCCTACTATAGATATTTATAATTACGTAGTAAGAGAATACTTACGTGTTCAACTTGAGTGGCACCATTGCCATCCTTTTTTACGCTCATTTCATCGTCGTCGTCATCATCATCAATGACGTCATCGTCGACATCATCATCATTATCATTGTGGTTATTCATAGTCTTTGGGTTTTTTGTCCGGAGTTGTTTCCCGCCGGTTTTGTCGCTTTCTGTGTGGGTGCGTTTTTAATTTTTTCATCGCATACTTTAATAATAATATTTTATTTTCATGAATGAAATATCTTTTAGCACGCATTGAAATCGAAACAATAACCCAAGAAATAATCATCGTATCGTTATTTATATTATTATTATTATTATCATTATTATTATTTTTATTATTATTATTATTATTATTATTGTATCATTGATACCGTCAGATATGTATCTCGACATTTTATATGAGTCCGTGTCAGAAATGTCTGGGATCATTCTCCAGTTGCTAGTGCTAATGATGATGATGGTGACGATGGGTTGGTGATCATGATGGTGACGATGGGTTGGTGATCATGATGATGATGATGGTGAAGATGGGTTGGTGATCATGATGATGATGATGGTGACGATGGGTTGGTGATTATGATGATGATGTTGGTGATGATATATTGAGATGATGATGATGGTGATGATGATGATGACGGCGATGATGATAACAATGGTAAGTAAAACAATACAGTAGCATAAGACAAACATAATTTACGACCACAGAAAAATATTATAAACAACAAAAAAATATACATAAGACAAAAAAAAACAAAAAAAAGATACTAAAAAGAACAAAGGCTAATTTATAACGTGACGCAAACAAATCGATCACGTGACACAAACAAAATTATTCATCAACTCACTTCCGGTCGGCCGTCTTCAAACCATTTCCGGTCTTCAGCGTATTCACGGTCATTCTCGGCCTGTTGTCATTTTCGTCCTTAATATAAATGACCGCGTTGACCTCTGAACTCTGGGGTTCTTTGCCGAAGTCTATTGCTAAGATGACAAATCTAGGTATGCAAGGTATTTTGTTCTGGCTGGTATTTGCGTATTTCGTTTTAGTGAGTGTGTGTGTGTGATGTGTGTGTGTGCGTGTGTGTGTGTGTAGTGTGTGTGTGTGTGTGTGTGTGTGTGTGTCAGCGTTTGTTGGTGTTTTTGAAATGACGTTTGTTGTTTTGTTTAACAGCTGTTTGCGGAATGAAGTATAGAGGAAATGAATGAATGAATGGATGAACGAGTTAAGGAATGAATGAAATAATGAATAAAAAATTGAGTGAGTGAATGAATGATTGAAGGAATTAATAAATAAATGAATGAATAAATGAGTGAGTGAATGAATAATGAAAAAAATGAACGAACGAAGGAACTAATAAAAGAAATGAACGCATTGCAACGTAGATGAATAAAAACGTTGAAATAATGTTTGACCTTGTCACAGTTTCCCACCCATGATTTATAAAAATTTTCAACTACCCTATAAAATGTTATGTAGTATATTATACAATAATATATTATGCACGTGAAATTATTATCTAGGTTAACTTTTCATCATTTGTTGTTATTTTTTTCCATCAAATCTTTAGATAAATTGATTCGTTCGTTCGTTCCTAAAATATTCATGGTCATGTAGCTTCTAAATGACAAACGCATGGACGGACGGATGGATGGATGAATGAATAGATGTATGAATGAATGAATAAATGTATGAATAAATGAATGAATGAATGAGTGAATGAATGAATGAATGAATGATTAAACAAACAAAAAGAACCATAAACAAAAGATTAAAAAGTGAGACTATTAAGAAATGGAAAAAAACCATAAAAAATATGAATTATGACTTAGCAAATAAGTCACGTGAATCACCAGGAAAATACCGAAAATACAAAAAAATTTGATTTTTTTGTTTACCAAAGGATAAAAAATTAAGTAAATTAAATTAATGGAAAAGGCATTGACCAAGGAACCAAAAGAAGTTACCGGGAAATAACAATGGAATGATTGAACGGCATAATTTATCGAGAAAGGAGTATTTTACTGAAAAAATTTAATGAATGAATGAATGAATGAATGAACGAACGAACGAACGAACGAATGAATGAATCGATGAATGAACTAATAAATGAATGAACTAACGAATTGATGACAAAAAAATCTTATTTACCTTCTTAAGTTTAAAAATTCCGCACGGTAACAGCAAATTAAATGATGAAATAAAGAAAGATGATTGAAAATTCCACAAAATTCAGGAACTCGTAGAATACATAAATGTTACTTTACATTCACTTTCGCTAAAATGGCAATAATAACGTGATCAACCGTCCATCCGTCCATCCATCCATCCATCCATCCATCCATCCATCCATCCATCCATCCATCCATTTATCCATCCATTTATCCATCCATCCATTTATCCATCCATCCATTTATCCATCCATCCATTTATCCATCCATCCATCCATTTATCCATTCATTTATCCATCCATCCATTTATCCATCCATCCATCCATTTATCCATCCATTTATCCATCCATCCATTTATCCATCCATCCATTTATCCATCCATCCATTTATCCATCCATCCATCCATTTATCCATCCATTTATCCATCCATCCATTTATCCATCCATCCATCCATTTATCCATCCATTTATCCATCCATCCATTTATCCATCCATCCATTTATCCATCCATTTATCCATTTATCCATCCATTTATCCATCCATTTATCAATATTCATACATACACAACGCACGCACACACACACACAGAACAGTCATACGCACACACAAAATTACACATGCAAACCGACGACAAGGCACCAACCTAAACATAGCCACAGATTCTCTATCTAGCACGCTATTCGTCGTCATGATACCGGAAGTAGCATTCAACCGGAAATAGCTCCTCAGATTCGGAACCGATATCAACGACTGCGGCGAAATCGCATACCTCACGGCGCCATTCTCGGCTAAATCGACATCAGTGGCTCTGACTGTCAAGACAAAACTACCGACCGGCAAGCTCTCACTTATTGTCGATTTATATACGGTTCTTTCGAATATCGGTTTGTTGTCGTTGGCGTCCAAAATCGATACTTCGATATTTACGTAGGCCAGCCTCCCTCCAGAATCGACAGCAGAAAGTTTGAGTTGGTATCGGTCTATGTTCTCCCGGTCCAGAGATGTTCCGATGATTAGTCGGAGTTCGGTCGTGTTGTCGAGTTTGCGAGATGTTTGTAAGGAGAATGGGGAGTGGAAAATAGTGTTCACGTTGAGTTTGTTGTTGTTGTGGGTACTGTTGTTGTTGTTGTTGTTGTTAATGTCAGCAGTGACGTACTGATTAAATCGGTACATACCTCCTTCGTGTTCCGATTCTACTCGTTTGTTAGTAACACCAGAACCGGTCCAGATATTCGAACCGAGCACCATGGCGTGTCTGTTTTCCAGGTTGTACTTGACAATACCGAATTCCGGCGAATCATAATCGGTGGCTGTAGGGAGCTGGTATGTCGATCCGATTAAAGACGATTCCAAAATTAAGAGCGGGAAGGTTGAATCTTTGAATCTGTTCGTAATTTTGTAAAAGGTATTTTGAAATTTGTATTATATTTGTTCTTGGCTATACAGTGTTTATTTTTATTTGCTGTTTAAAATAAAAAAGGTGATTAGAGCTGTGAAAAAATCTTGCCTCCGAATTGACAAGTTAATTAAAACTTCAAATGTGACGAATTTTGTGAGAATAGAAATGTACTCAACTCTACTCAAATTCATCATCACTAACATCATCATTATCATTAAAAAGATAACCATCATCATCGTCGTCGTCATCATCATCGTCGCCGTCATCATAATCATTATCGACGTCATCATCATTGTTTAAGTTATTGTTTTCACAATTATAGAACCATCAAAGAAATATATATTCATTTTTTTGGTGGGGGGGGTTGGAATCTTTGTTCTGAATGAGATAGCTTACAATGTCGATGGAAAAGTAATGCATGATTCAATAGAAACTTTGACATTAACAATCTCTATGAACAACAATAAATGTGTTAAAATCATATCTGTTTACCGACCACCGGGTGCTGATTTAGATGAATTTATAAGTTTATTCGAAAATTTGTTGCTTGGAGGTAATTCACTCACTTATATTGCAGGAGATTTCAATATTAACATGGATTCTGCTTCGAAAGATAAATTGAATTTTGAGAGATTATTATTGTTCCACAAATTTCACGCCTTGATAAATTTGCCAACGCGAGTTACAACCTCATCTGCATCAGTTTTGGATAATATTCTAACTAATCAAAATGGTTTTCATCAGGCTGGAGTTGTAATTGCAGATTTGTCTGACCATTATCCCGTTTTTTGTTTAACGAACAATATGGAAGTTCAAAAAGTTAATTCAAGTTCGAATCGAAATAATGTACCCAAATTGAACGTAAATAAAATAAAGACAATCCTAAACAACACCAACTGGGATTTCATTTTGAATGATGGTGATGTGAATCGTTGTGTGCAAAAATTTCTTGATTATTTTCGAAGGACGGTGGATGATTGTTGTAAGTTTTTGCCACCTGTGAGTTCTAAATTTAAAAAAAGCTGGATGAATGCGGATCTTCTGAAGCTCTGCAAAGAAAAAAATAAGCAGTATTTAAAACTCATTAAAGATCCATCTCCGAATAATTTATTTGTGTATAAATGCCTTAGAAATAGTTTTACAAAAGCTAAACGTAATGCAGAAAAACAATTTTACGACAAACTTTTTAAATTAAATAATAATAATATAAAGGCAAAATGGCGCTTGATAAATGAAGTGATGAATGTTAAAAAGCAGACCACTCGAATTGACCATTTGAAGTTAAATGATTGCACAATCTCCGATAAAAAAGAGATTTGTAACACACTCAACCGAAATTTTATTGATACGATAAATTCACTCCAAGGCGGATTTAACCAGAATTTGCAGCATGAAATGTTTTCAGATCAGAATATCAACACATTCTACTTAGATGAAATCAATACTGCTGAGTTGTTCAGCATTGTCAATTCCTTCAAACCTAACAAATCCACGTCTGATGATGGTTTCAATATGTTTATGGTCAAACTGTTTGTGGACGAAATCATTGTTCCACTAAAGCACATATGCAACCTGTCTCTAAAATCGGCAACTTTTCCTGATCGGTTCAAATTAGCCAAAGTTATTCCAATACATAAAAAGGGAGATAAAGGAGATGCTGGCAACTACAGACCAATTTCTTTGTTGTCTCCATTTTCTAAGATTCTCGAAAAAATAATGAGTGTTAGAATGATGACCTTTCTCAACCGCTTTAATATCTTATCCAGCAATCAGTACGGGTTTAGAAACGCTCACTCGACAGAGTTGGCAATTGTTGAGCTTGCCCATCGTATACTAATGAATATGAATGATAGATACGTTACGATGGGCATTTTCATCGATCTGTCGAAAGCTTTTGATCTGATCAATCACTCGTTGCTTCTCAAAAAGTTAAATTTTTATGGTTTTCGTGGAAAAATTAATCAATGGTTCAGGAGTTATCTGGAAAATAGACTGCAATACGTTTGGCTGGAAAATCATGTCTTGCCTTTGAACTGCGGAGTCCCACAGGGTTCCATACTCGGTCCATTACTTTTTATCATTTTTGTTAACGATTTACCAAATGTTTCATCTGCTTTTCGCTGTATTTTGTATGCTGATGATACTAACATATTTTATTCATCGAAAAATCTTATGAATGAAAAATTACTTATAAATAGTGAAATGATTAAATTTGAACATTGGTTTAATATAAATAAATTATTAATTAACACAAGTAAATGCTCTTATACTATTATGGGTCCTAAGATTGTAACTAACACTATTCCTGATTTAAATATTAACATATGTAACCACGCAATAAAAAAACTTGATTCGATAAAATTTTTAGGTGTTTATTTACAAAGTAACTTATTGTGGAATGATCACATATTAGATATCACTTGTAAAACCAATCGATTTCTTTATATAATTAACAGGATTAAAAATAAACTTAATAAAAATACACTTGTTATTCTATATAATAGTTTCATTCTACCTTATTTATCTTACTGTAATATCATTTGGGGTAATAGCCCGTCGTATATTGTTAATCATTTATTTAATATGCAAAAATGGTTCATTAAAATATATTATAATTTAACCTTAATGTCTCATGTTGATCATTTGTTTTTAAAATTAGACATTTTAACAGTTAAACAATTGAACATTTATTATGCATCGATCTTTATGTTTAAATTGATTAACAACTTATTACCTAATTATTTTGTTAAATGTTTTCATCTAAGATCTAACATTCATTCTTTATCGACTAGGCAAAATAATATTTTTTACATATACCCAAATAGGTTAAATATTTACCAACATAGTATATTTGTAATTGGCCCAAGTATATGGGATGAAATTCTGCCAGAGGACATTAAAATTATATCTAATTTGAAGTCATTTAAAAAGTTTTTGAAGAAATTTTTGATAAAATATGATCCACCATGAGGACTATTATTTTAATTAATGGACCTGTAACATTGTAACATTTATCTATCAAACTTGCATTTAATTTCTTTTCTGTTGTTTAACTAATTACAAATAGTATTAGATATTATTTTGTTTTCGTGGGCTTGTTACATTGGTTTATGTATGTAATCCATCAAATTTACATTTATCTTTCATTTATGTTTAATTAATAAAAGTATATAAATTGTATTTAACTGTTCAGTGATCACGGTGGCCTTCACAAGATTATTTTATCTTATGTGGTCTCCGGAATCAGCTGTCTGATGGATTTATTTTCTTTTAAATTTTTCTTTCAGTTGGTTCAAATAAAGTATTTTCGTTCGTTCGTTCGTTCGTTTTCATTTCCACCTCTCTTCGAAGACACAAATCAGAAGCAGCAAAACATTAAAAACAAAATTTAAAAAACAAAACGCTAGAAAAATTAAACTTCAAAAGTTGACAAATTAAATATCTTTGAAAATAGCAGGAAAAACTAACACATCGATCCATGATATCACCGCTACTACAACTGTTAGCGCTTCTGCAGCTGCTGCGGCTTCTACTACAACTACTACTAACAAACAATGCACGGCCACTACTGCTACTAAAACTAATAAAAATAATTATAATAATAATAATTATAATAATAATAATTGTTATAATTATAATTAATATGACCTTGGAGGGTTATCGTTGATGTCAATGATATCAATGAGCACCTTGATGATGTTGAGGTAGCGGACTGGCTGGATGACGACGCTCAGACTAATTTCGCACGTCACTCTTTGACGACAGAAATCCGGCGCGTCACGATCTATAACCTGATTGGTTGGTTGAAAAGTCAGTTGGTTGATTGGTTAAGAAATCAGTTGGTTGATTGGTTGAGTAGCTGGCTGGTTGGTTGGTTGGTTGGTTGAAAAGTCAGTTGGTTGGTTGGTTGAAAAGTCAGNNTTGGTTGGTTGGTTGAGTAGTTAGTTGGTTGGTTGATTGGATGGTTGAGAAGTGNGGTTGATTGATTGGTTG